GGGTGGGGGGAGTGGGGCTCTGGTTTGTAGAAATGTCCTTGAACATTATCCAAGAGCTCATACTGCGTGAGTCTTGCTTGACACACACCCATGTGTCAGCTGTCAGGCCCCCTTAGAGTGTTTAGACTTGCACTGGGCTGTGGACTCCGTCTGCAAATTGTCACCAGGGCATCCGACAGATGGAGAGTCAGCCATTCTGGTCATCCCCCCAGCACCTTGTGGCCAGGTATCAGGCTGAGGGAGATTTACACCTTGGATGCCGAGCAGGCTGCTTTTGCTAGCATGGGCCCTGAGCACTTGACCTGTGGAAGACAAACAACCATCCTCCGAACCCAGAGAGGTGAAGACTTACAGACCAGTGAGAACGAAAGAGCCTGTGGGACGCTGGCCTTGCTAGAGTTTGTTAGCAGGAGCTGGGCATGGGCAGAAATGATGGGGCGAAGGGGGGCGAGCTCAGTAGAGAGGGAATGAGGAGTGGCTGGGTTTTCCAGAGGTGACTTAACCTTCTGCATCAGGTCATCAGGTGGAACCGCTAAGGAGGAGGCAGAATTACGGTAAGGAGGAGGTTGAGAAAGGCTTTCCTAGGACTCTCCCCATGGTAGATTCTTCTGGGGGATGGTGGTAGGTGCAGGCTGTGGGCCTCACGGGTAGTCATAGGGCTTTAATCCCACACCAGCTTTATCCCTCAACTCTTAGAGAGTAGGAGCAGCTTCTCCCCTTTCATTCGGGGGCACAGGTGAAAGCCACGGGAATAGTGCTCCTTTATGCTTTGATCCTGAAAGCCAATCATCTGGGCCCCCTGGGCTCCCTCTCGTGCTTCCTGGCTGCAGACCTATGTCTGTGTTTGCATGTCTCTCCAGAAGTGGGGACCTGCAATGGGGAGGGGGTACAGCTGATGCTCTCCCCCACCCCATGCAAAAAGCCCTGGATCCACTGTTGGCCAATTAGTTGAAACATAATATGCAACTCAGTTAAATTAGCAGAAACTCCAGGAGGCCATCTAATTTTCATAGCTATTATGACATTAAGGAAAATCAAAACGCTTTCCTCAGCGTCCTCATCTATAAAGTAAAGGGAGAAAGGTTGACTTTCTCTCTTCTCTTGCCTTTAGAGGGGGAATGAGGGTGCCTGGGATGGCTGGCTCTCCTAAAGCTCTGTGCAGTCCAAGGCAGAGAGAGCGTCCAAGTTTCCGTCTTGCTCCACCCCAGGCTGGGCGCCCCCTGATGGTTATAGGAGGTACAACAGGTGTGGGCTTTGCAGTGTCGGTCTGTTGACTAGAGGGGCTGCAGGAATGCGGTTTTCCTAAGGCCAGGGACTATCAGAGCTGGGAGAGATTGTAGAAATGATTTAGTCCAGTCCTTTGATAAAGTGGATGAAGAAACTAACTTCTAGAGAGGTGAACTGTAAGTAGCCAAGATTACTTTAGTCTGAGAAAGGCAACACTGGTAGTGTAGAGAGCACCAAATTTGGGTCTGGAGAAGCAAGGAAGGGAGAAGGAAGGAAATGGCCATTTATTGAGCACCAATCCACATGCCGATACCGTAAGAGGTGATCTACAAATGTTACGTTGAAGTGACAACAAACAGTAGAGCCTCATAGAAATCAAGTATCTTTTAACCCAGTCTACCAGACTCCAAAGTTCATTTTATTTCCCTTCCACACACACTGATAATCAGTTATGTGACACTGAGCAGGTTACTTGGCAATTTTTTTGCCTGTGAATCAAATGGAGATTCCATTATTGTTCTACTCAGCTCACGCAGACTGGTTTTGAAGACCAAATGGGAGACCGCATATAGAACAGTTTGGAAACCGATAAGGCTCCTCTGGTGTAGTGTCATCGGAGTAGGGAGCAAGGATTCGTCTCAGGCCTCCTGGTTTTGGTCTGTGGATAGTCCTACTTCCACAGACAGCCTAGATCTTGGACTTGTTTTTGGCCAGGGTGGGCATGTCCCTCCTGATTTTTCTTCTGCAGGTTCATCCCCGCCACAGACAGATGCCCCTGGTTTCATATCCACATCACGGCACACATGCACACACACACACACACACACACACGGCTCTTTTTTCACATTCAGACTCTGGTCTGGCCTGTGCCTGACATTTGGTCCTGGTTTGACTCACCCATCCACTTCCCACGCAGCATTTGTGATGAGCTAAATCTTAAGGATGGACAGGAGTTTAGGATAGAGGGCACTTCTGGATGTGAGAGCTTTAGGGCACATTATAGGAAAGGTTCATTAGAATTGAGCCCTAAAGAACCAGAAAAGAAGATGATCTCTTAGTTTGCTAGGCCCGGTATAACAAATTCCTTTTCCCATAGTTCTAGAGGCTGGAAGTAAAAAATCAAGGTGTTGGCAGGATCATGCTCTCTCTGAAGGCTCTAGGGGAGGACTCCTTGGTTGGCTCTTGTAGCTTCTCACGGCTGCAGGCAATCCTTGGCATTGCTTGGCTTGTAGCTGTGTCATTACAACTTCTGCCCCTGTCTTCACACGGCCGGCTCCCCTTGTGTGTCTGTGTCCACATTTTCCCTCTTCTTGTAAGGACACCAGTCATTGGCTTAGGGCCCGACTTAATTCAGTATGAGCTCCTTTTAACTTGATCACATCAGCAAAGACCCTATTTCCAAATAAGGTCACGTTCACAGGTTCTGGGGGTTAGGACTTCAGTGTATCTTTAAGGGGGACATGGTTCAACCCACAACAGAGGGTATCATGGGGAAGGAGGAATACTGTCATCCTAGCTTTTCTGTGTTCATCTTATTCCTGCTGTTTTAAACCCACATTTTCAAGGTTCTGCTTCATCCTGTACTCAGTTAGAAGGGTGGTTGGGGTGCTATCTATTCGTGGATTTCCACTTCTGGACCTTTCTTCCCTTCTCCCTGGGCCCCAGATTTGAGAAGCCACTGAGCAAGTCAGACCTTGTGTTTGTTGTCTCCTGTGGACAGAAGTTGCTCTCCATTCTCCATTCTTCCCTTCTTCCTTTAGTGATAGAACCCCTAAGTTTTAGCTGGGCACATGGTCTTGCTAAAGACATTACAGCCTCCTGGCAGATACAGGTGTGACTATGTGACTACGTTCTAGCCAATTGAGGTATACAGCTTCCAGGTCTGCCATTAAAGGGAGAGGGCATATCCTCCACATCCACTTCTCCCATTCCCACTGGCTGGAATGCAGGTGTGATTGTAGGAACTGAAGCAGCCATCTTAGGTCATGACCCTGTGTTACAGGTGGCAGAAGAACCAGATAGGAGGAGCCCGGGTGTTCAAAAGTGTGCAGTCATCATGTCCACCATGGATTGCTTATGCTTAAGACTCTTACATGAAAGAAAAATAAACTTGTATCTTGTTTAAGCCAGAGTTATTTTAGCCTTTTTTTTTTTTAAACAGCAGCTGAATCAAACAAATTCATCAATGAAGGGATAATAAAGGAGGGTATAAATGAATGGGCATCTGCTGACCTTCTGTGATGAATGTAGCTTGGGTGACAAAGCTGCCTTGTTTTGGTCCTCTTAGGGCATCCCTGATCTCTGGGAATTGGCATCTCTATAGAGTTGGAGTTTATGTGGCCCCCGAGACCACCAAGTCTGTCTCTTTGACCTTGATTAGCACAGGGACAATGATCAATGAGTGTATTCATTTTCCAAGGCTGCTGCAACAAGTTGTCATGATCTTGGTGCCTTAAAATAATAGAAATTTATTCTCTCATAATTCTGGAAGCCAGAAGTCCGAAAGCAAGGTGTCAACAGAACTGGCTCCTTCAAGAGGCTCTGAGGAGGAGTCTGTCCCATGCCTCTTTCCTAGCTTCTGGTGGCTCTGGCAATTTTTAGCATTCCTTGGCTTGTAGACATATCTCACTCCGATCTCTACCTCTTTCCTCACTTTCTTCCTGTGTCCATGTATGTCTTTTTTCTGTCTCTTATAGGGACACACATCATTGGATTTGGAGCCTATCTTAATCCAGGATAATCTCATCTCAAGATCCTTACCTTAATTATATCTGCAAAGACCTTTAATCCAAATAAGGTCACATTCTGAGATTCCAGGTTGACATATATTTGGGGACTACCATTCCACCCACTATAGTGAGAGACACTTATAAATCCTTTAACTGAGAGTTCTCATCTTGAAGATTATCATCCACTCCAGTCGCCCCTCAGGAAAGGGCTGTTCTCTCCAGAAGCTCATGCTCTGTGGTAGGCAGAACTGAGAACTCTGAAGGACCCCTGTCCTCATATAATTCCCTCCCCTTGAATGTGGGTGGGACCTATAATTTGCTTCTAGGAAATAATAATATGGCAAAGGTGATGGGATATCACTCCTGTGATTATGTTATATTAGATGGCAGAGGTGAAAGGATTTCAAAGATGTAATTAAGGTCTCTAATCAATTGACTTAAGTTAATTAAAAGGCAGATTAGCCTGCGTGGGCCTGACCTAATCAAACAAGCCCTTTAAAAGGAGGTCAGAGGTCAGAGATGGAAGAAGTCAGAAAGATACTCTGGCTGGCCTCCATGAAGCTAGCCACCATGAGTTCCACAAGTGCAAGGAAGTGGATCCTGCCAACCACCACGTGAGTTGGAAGAGGACACTGAGCGTCAGATGAGACTGCAGCCCTGGCTGACATCTTCACTGTAGCCTGGTGAGACCCTGAGCAGAAGATCCAGCTCCCCCGTACACAGACTCTTGAGACATGGAAACTGTGAGGTAATAAATGTGTGTTGTTCTAAGCTGTTAAATTTGTAGTAATTTGTTACACAACAATAGAAAACAAACGCAGATTCACTGCACAATTCTGTCCGAAGGCTGCTCTTTATAACAGTCCTTCTCTGGTGGTGTTTTGTTTTGTTTTGTTTTTTAAAGTTTATTTACGTAAGCAATCTCTACACCCAACGTGGGGCTCAAACTCACGATCCTGAGATCAAGACCTGCACACTCCACTGACTGAGTCAGTCAGGTGCCCTTCTCTGGTGGTGTTTTTAAAAGTTTCCCATCAGAAACAAAACTCCAGTGGGACCACAAGCTCAGGAAGATCCCATGACCTGCCATGGTTTACTATTCTTTCAAAGGACTATCAGAGACTCTTGCTTGAGTGTCTGAGGAACGGGGTCCTTTAGTCTTTGTCCTTCATGAAGGCCTGAGGGAATGACTAGTCATTCTATGATTCCTTGGCCCACACACACCTTTTTAAGAAAATGGGAAGCTAAAGGTTCAAAAGTGATTTATTTCTGAGTTGCTAGTGAGGAGCCATCCTTTATACCACAAAGACACAGCAAACACATTTACCAAAAATCTCTTTAGCAAGAACCAAGAATTGTTGTTTCCACTGTTGGTATTCCCAGAAGGGAGAAGGGATGGGTCACTTCTTCCCAGGGAAGAGAGAAGTGGGAACAGGAGAGCTTTGGATCAGCTCAGCACCACCCACAGTGTCTCTGGTTTCTCTCTAGTCACTGGATCATGTGAGTGAGCCCTTCCTCCCAGGCCTCCCCCTGGACCCAAGTCTGAACCTAATTGATGTTGGAATATTCTCCCAGAACCACAGGGAGGGGAACTAAGGGAAGAAGTATAGACAGCTGCTTTTCCAATGGAGAAATTCCTACCATTTTTGGGGAAGGAAAAACATATGGAGCTGATGGCGAATTTTACTGCTCCAGCAACCTCAAGATCTAGAGTCTAGCTTCCCATTTTCGAGGGAGGAACTTTTTTTTTTTTAAGATAGATTTATTTATTTATTTATTTGAGAGAGAGAGAGAGAGAGCGCACACGCGTGCAAGAGAGCGTGCTCGAGTGGGGGAGGGGCAGAGGGTGAGGGAGAGAGAATTTCAAGCAGAATCCCTGCTGAGCGTGGAGCCCGATGGATGGACAGATGGACAGACAGATGGACAGGACATGGGGCTGGATTCTAGGACCCTGAGATCATGACCTGAGCCAAGATCAAGAGTCAGATGCTTAACCGACTGATCCACCCAGGCGCCCCGGGAAGAACTAGTCCTAAGAACAAACTAGTTCTTACCCCTAACCCACTCTCATGCTCCTCCCCTTGGTAGGGTTGCTGGCTAGCTGGTATTGACCTGGGTGGTCTGGTATTGGACTTTTGACCTCATGAAAAGAAAAAATATTTAAACTTTGCCTTTTCTGTCCTTTAACATTTTTTTGCAAGTTGTTGTAATAAAAAATTCTTTAAAAAACAGGAGATAGAAAAGTTGTAAAAAAAAAAAAGTGGAAATTATTATTGACACACAAGATATTGTTTAAATTAAGTGGATATTTTTCAGGACTGCCCCTGCTCGTCAACACCTCCCTCGATGCTTGGTCTGGTGCCTGGTATTTTTAGGGAGGACATCTGGCAAGTCTACCCATTAGCCACTGCCATAGCTCGGGCCTTCATCACTTCTTAACCAAATTAACTAAAATAGTCCCCACTTGGCCTGCCGAGTTCTGGCTACCCTCCAATTCATCTTCCACAAGCCCCCAGAGAGATTCTTCTAAAATATAAATCTGACAATGTCATTCCCTTTCTTAAAATCATTCAATGGCTTTCTAAAGCATTTGGGGTAAGATTCAGACCCCTCAACACAGAGGTGTGGCATTAAATGGACAGTGCCTACCTTCCTTACCTGATTTCCCACCTCTCTCCTCCCCCATACCCTGTTAATGCAACCACACTTACATTTACTAAAGAACTCATTTTCTTTGTATCTTCACACAGACAGTACCCTCTGTCATCCTTCTAAACACAGATTGTACACTGTGCTCATCCACTCATCCACCCATCTCGGCAGTAACAGTGAGAATAGACTCTAGATATATTACAGGGTAAAACTGATACAGTTTGCCAAAGACTTGAATGTAGGGTATAAGAGAAAAAGACATCAAGGATGAGACCAAGACTTTTGGCCTGACCACCTGGCAGAATGGACTTGCCATTTACCAAACTTGGGTGGGGCGGGTGGTAAGGGAAGTGGGATATGAAACTATGAGTTAGTTTTTGGACACAATAAATTTGAAAAGTCTATTAATTATTTGTTGGAATATCAATAGGCATTTGGATTTCCAAACCTATAGGTTAGGAGGAAAGTTGGAACTGGATAGATAAATTTGACAGATGGATATTTAAGCTCATGGAAGTGGATGAGCTCACCGGCATGGTGACCATAGAAAGAGAAGAGAAAAATTCAGAGTATATACTACTGTTTTTTTTTTTTT